CCGCATGAACTGACGGAAATGCAAAAATGGATGCGTTACAAAGCTGCTCAGACGCACTTGGAGCGCTATGAACGCGAAGGAGAGGCTTCCTTCATCGTATCATAACACTAGATGAGACATGGCAGTAAACCGCACCATTTGCACCATCAACAGAACAGGCTCTGCTAACGGTATACTACATCTTCCACATCACTGGCAATGGGTTCTACACAACGCTGGTGACTACTTTGAAGGACAGTAACAGGGGCAAACATGTAACTCTATTGTAGAATAGAAGAATAGAATAGAATAGAATAGAATAATCTTCTCCATTTGCTTCCCCGAAGGGTTACAATCCTTTGCACAATCCCTTCAACCTCATCCTTTCCTTCTTTACCCTCATCTCCCGCCTTTGAGCAACCGTACTCTACTCCTTCCACCAAACTTTGTCCATCTCTTCCCTCTCACCAACTCTCCACATTCATCATCCATTCTTCCCCACTGCCACTCTTATACAATATTTCTCTTATCTTTTCCACCATTCCTTTCCCGTCCTCCTCACCTTCTGTTCTGACGAATCTAACTGTTTTGTATCGGTTGTGAATAAATAGTTGCCACTATTTAAGTCTCAATCTACGTATAATTTATCTAGATATGTCATTTATAAGACATTATAAAATTTCTTTTTTATTTCATTGGAATCTTCGAAAGATTATAAAACCGTGTAAGAATATCAATTAAAAAGATATTAAAAGAAAAATACATAATATAGATAAAAGATTCTCAAGTGAAAAAAAGAATAACTTATTGTTTCTTTTCTAACAAAAAATAAAAATAAAATTATTTATCAAACACCAAGGGCAAAGAATAATAATCATAAAATCATTAGAACATACATTTCAATAAACCCCAATATGGGGTCTCTAGAACTTGAATACGCTATCTGACGGCTACATTAAAAATTAGAGTAAATAGATCGAATGGCAATGCGACGCCACTGCCAAAGATCACCAAACTGGAGAATAGTAGTGAGGTTTTTTCCGAAAAGTAGTGAGGTTTTTTCCGAAAAGTAGTGAGGTKTTTTCCGAAAAGTAGTGAGGTTTTTTCCGAAAAGTAGTGAGGTTTTTTCCGAAAAGTAGTAAGGTTTTTTCCGTAAAGCAGTGAGGTTTTTTCCGAAAAGCAGTGAGGTTTTTTCCGAAAAGTAGTGAGTAAGTAGTGAGTAGTGAGTATAAAATAAGTAGTGAGTAATAATAAAAAAAAATTAATAATGTTACAAAAGTGATCTATTCAAATTATCCTTGTCTAGTATGAGTAAAAACGATAAAGAAAGATATATATTGATTAGAAGCTATTTAAGAAAGTCCTAAGGTCTAAACGGTAGTGAGGTTCTTTCTACTTTTTGGAAAAAACCTCACTACTTTTCGGAAAAAACCTCACTACTTTTCGGAAAAAACCTCACT